TGGTGCGGATGCATGACCGAGCGCCTTCAGCTAGGTGAGTCCATTAAAACTAATATGGTCAGCAACCAATGTCGAAAACTTACAGAGCTAATTATCTTGGGGATTTATTTACCGCTACAGTGATTTAGAACAACATATGTATGCGAACAATTTTGTTTTCAATTAGATCTTCATCAGGCTTTACTCTAATATACAGTAATATTTATATGCATATACGAAATTATTAAACCAATCAAGGCAGTTTATAATTCAGTGATAACAGTGCAATAAATTACATAAATAAAACTAATGAGTAAAGAGTACAAATTGATAGTGCGATGACAGGTTTAGTAGTTGTGATAAGAATTATAAAAGCTTGTATCTAAGTCTCATAGTGGAAATTAAGTCAGTAACTTGAAAAATAGACACTGAGATAGCATTCATAAAAACTATAAGATTATGAAATAAGTTTCTAGATGACTGGACAATGTATAACGTCCCAACGGTATATTAATCAGAAGGCAAATACGGAGTGTCGATTACGTTTATTGCGAGACCACACACGTATATCCAAATGTACAGATGCGTTAAACAAGCATAGAAGAGTTGTGCCGAAAGGTGAGCAAGCGAGCGAGAGCCAGAGCAAGACGAGAGTACGTGTGTGTTGAATATGAGTAACATGGGCATACATATACCATGTGAAATGAATGAGTAATCGAATCAAATAAGCAGTTAGTAGTAAGACTAGCAGAGTGAATAAATGCGTAGGCCATAATCAATATTCAAGCATACGTATTTCATACAAGCACAAAATAATAAGGGTACAATAAGTTGTTATAATGCGGACGACTTTGTCCGCTAAATGAGTTAGCAAATGGGCTTAACTGAGTTAAATGAGAATAAACTCAATTGCACGTGAGTCACTATAATAAATGAATCGTATATTTGGGAAAACCATAGGTGAAATGGGGTGAAGAAAAATAAACGAACATAGAGTGTAGAAAATAATTCAGAATAATTTGCTAAGTTTGTTTACTTATTTATCGAAGGCACTTATGATTAAGTGGTAGCTTAGGTGAGTAGTTGTACTGACCTAGTTAAAGTTTTGATTAGTCCTCCCAGAATGTCTATCCAGGACCAACGACCTTCAGCTAGCCGATGACAAGATAGCAGTGGGTTAACAACCTAGAATAACGCATAATGACTACTGATCCAGGACGAAGTTTCCTATGCTTGCCCATAAATTAGTTAGAATAGAACACAACACTGTGAGCAAGTAACCTCTAATTACACAATTCGAATTTATGAATTACTCGTACAATGTACGGTAAATTACTGACTATACATCAACACAATTAGGAAATTACAATATGTGCATAAATATGCCGTAAGTCGAAGTGGACTGGATGAAAGTGTTACGTCCTTGATAAGTCTACCCACTTTTGGTGCTAAGGATAACTTGCCTAAACTAGATTAAGACCTTGACGCGATAAGCTGACCGGCTTAACCTTTATGGCTAGTATGCGTGAGTTGGAAGTGGGTTAGAGATGAAAACTGTTCTATCGCCTGATTGGCTGACAAGCACATGGATGAGAGTAGACAAGTCAACTGGAACACTACTCGACTTATTCCCGATTCCGGATTAGTGTAAAAGAGTAAGTGAAAAAATAGATGACAAACCTGACCACAACGTACAATAATTAGGAAAATACAATAATGTTCAAAACTGGAGATTAGCGTAGAAAATCGATTACAAAATAATTAGGGGAATACAAAAATATAGTAATTTTAATATTTAGAAATTATATAACAAAAGTATAAGCAATGACACCAGGTAGGACAGTTCCAAAAATTCATCTGTGCTTAATGTTTATAATGACCAAGCATTTATACTTTTGATAAAATAATCATTATCATTTCAATGAATTACCATACTTAAGTTCATATAAAGATGACAAATGGATGTTGAGCATGAACAAGGTAGAAGTAGTTTTTGCTCGCATTGTCATTCATGCGTAATAATTGACTTTGATATCGGAAAGACCAAGACAATGTTGATCCGTAGTCGACGCCTCGTTTGGTGTGCTAAGAGAACCTCTTTTCATTAGGAGTTTTAACAAAAATATTCCTTTTAAAGTTCAGTTGTTTGCTTTAGGACTCTATTTGTTAATTAGAACTATTTAGTGACAAAAATACACATTGCAGGATTTCTAAACATTGCAAATATTACATTCCTAACATCTACAAACATATACACAATTACATTACGATTATTTGGTGGATAAACCATGGTAGAATAGTTTTTGCATTTTCAATATGACATAACCGTCATTTATCGGATAATCTAAATTTTTCATCGTCAAATTTCATAATCAATCAAGTGTAAACCTGATTTCAAAGACTCTCCAAACATGTCACGATTATTTTCCAACTAGCTGTCAAATTTGTTATTCTTAATAAGATATCGACTTTAACGTCTAACACCTTTGCTACTTATAAATGAAAAAATGAATATCTGTTAAACATAATTATTAAAAATCTAGTAGTCTATAACGGCAAACAATCCATATTTTATGATAGATGTAGGGCAACTGCTTAAAGTTGATTGTGAAAATTATTTCAAATTTATATTGAGCAATAAGTGAAATGAAACAATGTCCGAATCCCACAACTGGTTTTCCATGTCTAAATCTAAAATAGGTCAGCATATCTACGAAATAAACTAATTATAAATAAAAGACACATAATGTAAGGTTCACTTATGTAGAATATTACAAAAATTATTAAGTTGGTGTACTCCAAATTTGCACACCGTAGATGATATCCATACTGACCAGTAAGAGTGAAAATACTAAAAAAATCTGAAAAATGTTTAAAAGGTCACCGGTAATTTATTGGTATTCCCATACCGCGAAAAAAGCAAACTTCTCTTCGTGTCAGTAAATCGTCCGTGCTGAACTAGAAAAACTACAGATTTCCTAAGTGCCAGCACAATATGCGGACAACTGTAGACACATATTTGACTGGAAAAATGTTGAATCCTTGGATAAAGGGAACATTAATATCACCGGAGAAATTTAAGAAGCTTGACACCCAAGTCAATTAGAGATCAACAACACACATCGAAGTCGATCCAATTCACCAACTTATCACGAAAATCATGGAGAAACATAGGACCACGAAGTAGATTAAAGGGAGATAGAATCAAAATAAAGAGATATACAATGACAGGCTAGAGGTCAATAACAGCCTGTGATAATCGAGAGGACAAGTAGTGAGTCATGTGTAGTGCAATTCGAACACTTCAATCTTGCCAGACGTTTGTGCTGATAATGTAGTTCAGAAGATAAATGAAAGCTTCATGACCAAACGATCCAAACCGGAAAACAAAACCACCCAAGTTGGTGGTTGCGTATCTCTTTCCATAGTTAGGTCAGCAAAAAGTAATATGTCTGAAGATACCTGTTGTGTAAGATCATTTATACAAATCAAAAAAAGAAGAGGTCCTAGTACTAAACCATAAGGGACCACAATAAGACGTTCCATACTCTGGGAGAAAGTGAAGTTATGGATTTAATTCACGTTAGTGAATAACAGAATGGAACAAGTCAAATAAGATGATGTTTTTGAATATATATATATACTTCACACATCCGTTACTACATACAGATGGTAAGGGAAAAGAAGCGGATTGGGGAAGGCCAACATGCTTACTCCATTTAATCAAACTTACTTATGCTTGTTATGCCTCATGAAGCATAGGCAGCTGACAAGGACTCCCCACCCAAACCTGTCTAGGGCTCTTTTCTAGATGTCCTCAAGTGCTATTTACTCTCATGATGTCTGTCTAATCTTGATGTCTTTCCAACCCTGCTTTGCCTGATTGTCATGCGGATTTCTTCTATTGTTGGTAGAGTGAGAGCTGTACGAAGTTTTTTGCGTGATGCTTCAATCTTGTTGGGTTCAGTGCGGCACGCCTATTCATCTTGGAAACCACCAGGTGATGACCTGAAGCTATGTCAGCTCCTCTCCTGGTTCTCACGTATTCCATTGACCTTCTGAACATCTTAGTGATGCAAATATCATCCTTCTGATTATGTGTAGTGTAATTCGGTGAGATCTATGTAGTTTGTGCATGTGCTTATGGGCGAATATTGTGCAGCCAATAACCATTCTGTTGGATGCACATAAATTTGCAAATCCCTCACCATTCTCGTTCCCTTCTTCTAGTCAGTCCACGTCGTCCCATGAGATCTTCATACCCGGTGTTGTTCACCCTGGCTCTGACTTTCAGATCTCTCATCAGGATGATCAGTTCCCTTCTTGGGTATTTCTCCACGACCGACTGAAGCCTCTCGTGAAACTGATCTTTATCTCCTTCACTACTATCATTGGTAGACGCATGACACTGGATAACATTCATTGTGATTATCTCCTTCTTTGCTTTGAAGAATCAGAATCCATGAAATTCCCATCCTATAAGATCTTCACGTGCTTCTTTGGACAGCATTATTGCAACTTTCCGCGTGTGCGGAGCATTTTCTTCTTCGTGGGCAGTGTAGAGCAGTATCTCTCTCGAAGCTAATGTTTTCTGTCCAGCGTGTATCCAATGGGTTTCACTGATTTAGAGCACCGCTAGGTTGTATCTTCTCATTTTCCCAGCTATTTGACAACTCGTATACCATTTCCTAAGTATGGATATGAATTTTTTCATCTACATATAACACGAGTTGATTTATACACATACTTCTACCTGTACTATACATCGGTTACCGAAATATCTCTATGCACAGTACACCTACTTGATTTAATAGTAGACAATTGCAAGACGATTATCAAATAAATAATTCAAATTTCTCAAGTTTCAATCTTACACAAGCTTTTTTATTTTCCTAATATTCCAAAATAGTAAATCAAAGCCCAAAGCTATTGATTCACGTTTTTCAAATATTGATTCTTCTGTATGCAAAACAGTATACGATTTTACGCTGATTTTATAACGAAATAAATACAAATCTTCACTCAGATTAATCATACCACCAGTTCACCAGGAATAGGAACGAAAAATGATGTTAGGAAATTTTTTTAATAAGAAATAATAAATGTCAACGAGAATAGTTAAACTCTTTCTTTCATAGTTTTCTTTTTGGTTAGAAGAAAGCTTACAAGTAGATATCCCATTTTGAAGTAAATTTTTGAGATGAATCTGTATCTGATTTACCAGGTGGTAAACAGTGACTTGCTTGACTCGAAGCCGTAGAATTCTGAAATTGGAATGGCAAACAAAATAGAGTTGTATGTGATAATTTTAAGCAAATGTGGCTTGAAGATAAATAACAGCAGTTGAGATGATTTAGCTGGTATAACAAAAATAAGCAGTACTGAGGTTAGTAGGAGCTATTTGTAATTGACTGTCTAGACTGTAAGGATGATGTAATGACTTAAAATTGCTAGATGTCTATATTGCATTTGTTTAATAAATATTATTACGTACAATGTCCCAGCAAGAATTAGTGCTCAAAAGAAATTTTACTCCATTTGAGGTATTTAATTATGGTGTAAACTAGTAGTATAGTGGGCGAAATTGATTTTCTCTAGGTGGATTATTCTTTACTTGCTGGTGGTCATTTTGGTAAACTTGAATGGATTTGTAACAGCTTCGGTTGGTAGGTTAAGAGTTGACTCTAAACAACCAAGCATATGCTAATACATTATTGTTCAAGTATTCATTCACTTCCTTGTTTTTATAAGCGTTATATTCCCTATTATCTTATATTGAATGTTGAGAGCCTTTGTTTGTCTGAACAGATAGTCCCACGGTCCACTGTTACCGCGCTGAGATCGAAATAAAGACCTATTCACTACTTGTCTGGTTTCTTCTATCAATAGCACGAGGGTTACTTTTAGGCACGAAATTGGTGAGCCCTTTTTGAACACAAATTTAACCTCATTTCTGTTATTAACATTTTTTTTACTTAATCGTAAAAGTAGACCTGATTATCCGTAAACTAATTTGAGTATATAACTAGTTTATTCCGTATTATCTTAAGTTATTCGTGTTATAGTAACCACTTTTTGTGCTAACTTTATTGTTATATTTGTTACATACCTCATGTCAGACTCAATAGAAACCCATAATCTGGAGGATTTGTCACCAGTGGAGATAGACGCTGTTATGACTACGAAATCCCGACTTCCAGAATTTGATCGTAGTGATCCTGAGTTGTGGTTTGCTCAACTAGAGCATTATTTCACGAGACACAATATCAAATCTGAAGGGATTCGCTATAGAGACTTGTGTTCTATCCTTCCTCCTTCAGTCGCCAAAGAAGTCCGTGACTTGATTTTAGATCCACCATCACCAAAACCATACACCGTCTTAAGACGAGAGATAATGAACCGTTTATCATTATCAGATAGTCAAAGAATCCAAAGACTTTTTCAAGGTGAAACACTAGGTGATCGGTCGCCGTCACAGTTTTTGTCACCTCCAAGTCTTAGTGGGTGATAACACAGTGGGTGAAGCAGTCCTAAAACAAGGATGGATACAAGCTCTCCCATGCTACGTCCAACACTGTTTGGATTAATGAGTGGACTTATGAACCAAGTGTGCAAAACAACGTATCACGTGAAATACAGAACAGCCTTTTTTAGAAGTAATTCACTATCCAGGACATTGGATATGAGACTGATATGTGGTAGTGAAATTAAAGGATGATTGGTCTTTGAGCATAGACAGACAGATACAGAATATGTGATTTCTTTTCCTCTCATTGATTTTTACTCCGGAATCACTGAGTGTGACTGGCTTTTTATTTTGGATCGTGGATCTGATATAATGTGATCAGTCTTATTATTGTATTAATGTATTGTTGTTGTATGCTTGAGAGGGAGAAATATATTTTAAACCATTTGGCTAACGGTACAACTCGGTTGCCTAAACCGATGTAGGTCGAAGGGGGTCGGACCTGGGGTTTAGAGGCTAAAAGTTAAACACCTTAACCATTAAGCCGCCGCAAAACAGTCTACTTATATTCTATATCAACCCACTTTGTGATGATAAATCTAGGTCAATCATGCAATTATCCAAGTGTGAGTTGTAACTATATGATACACAAAATTCATAGCGCAAACCTCTTAATTTTAAGACCAGACGTAGGATGTTAACAAAAGTGTATTTTGGATGTCGAAATCATGCGACATTGTAAGAAGTATATAAAAACATTTTTTACTTTCTAAACAAATAATTGGCTGATCTGAATAATAGGTACTTGTAGATCTGATTGAAGTTATGCTTTCCAATGTTTAGTAAGTGCACACAGATGACAACTGCGTATACGACAATTCAGGAGTGAAAACTAGATTACTGAAACTGATTACAGATATACGAAAGGGGACTTTCAGGTCATCGACCATGAGAATCTTGCATTTAACGTTGAGTTAGAATACGTGCATAGAGCTAGAGAATATAATAACTAACTAAAAACAAACTCATGAACACTTCATTGTTTTCACTAATCGACTGATTAATATCGAGTTACAGTGTAAACCACCTATATATCGATACGACTGGTTAACTGAATGTCTTAACGCTCTTTATTTTTTTTAACAAGAAACTGAATATTATTGAGATTCAAGCTGGGAAGTAGTAAAATCAAACCTAGATGTCAGAATTTTTTGTTCAAACAATAAACAGTGATATGTTGATTATTTCGACTTTTACTTCTTAGATAGATTAGTTGAATCATTTCGAACAATTAGAGTAGCATAGACCATTCTCCGCACATTGAATACAAAATATTTTCGGATGTTAGTTTTAAAATCATTTGATAGACCTTTTGCAAGGGTTCCCTTTAGAAATTCATTTTACCGAACAATCGAACCTCTTTGTTGACTGTAGATCTCATTCACATTAGTTGGATTCTATAAAGTACACTATTAAATGTCTTTTATAAAAAAAATGGAATAAGAATGAAAATCTAGGCACCGTTCGATACCTTAAGGGACTACTTATGAGGAAAATAAATTGATTCACAACATTAAACTTGTAATAATAATAATAACCATCAGTATTATGTCAAGGCAAAATGCAGCATGAAATTCGATCACAATTGCATACATTACGACTAACACTGAAAAGAGATGTGTTGTAACCAAAGATATTCATACGAATACTTACCGGTATTAAGATATCTTTTTGGTTACTGGTGTTCATCTTTGTTTGAGAACCAGAGGGTTTCGAATATGGATATAAGCGGTAGGAGATTTCCTGAGACTCTACTAACAGACACTTGTTAGAATCAGTAGTATCAATGTTTTGAACCGAGGTTATGTCATCTTTGGACATGGAATTTTTCATTGGCATAGTTTTTCCGGGCAAATCCATATTTGAACTCCATAGCAATGCTCTTGGTTGATTTAGTATCCCATATTTATACAAATTCATTTGACGAACACCTTGTCTATTTAATTTCTGTACAACTTTACGACATTCTTGAGCAACTCCTTCTGCGAAAACCTTGGATTCAAATAAATTATTGATGAAGCAAATTTAATGTATTTTTAAGGACGAAACTCCATTGAGGAGCTAATGAGAATAAGAAATTCTTAGATAAGTCTCTTCCAGTTCTCGTAAGCAGCCACGGATAATTAATTACAGGTTATTAAAATTTGATTAGTCCCCAGTGGCTTTCAGTAGTACACCAACAGGGGTGACTCAACAGTGAAAAACAAATTGTAAATATGTACGGTTTCAAGTCAGCAACTTCTGTAGAAACTTCAAATGAGAATAACGGACATTCATAGTTGTAGAATAAACAGTAGATATCTTTTTACGGACGCTTTCCGCCGTTGTAAATTTAGACGACACTAAAAAGCCTTATATATATATATATATATATATATATATATATATATATATATAGAGAGAGAGAGAGAGAGAGAGAGAGTCGAACCAATTTGAAGTTGAACACTAATGAATTGGTTGCTTATGTTGAGGACGTTAGATCCCCAGAACTCACTTTAAAAAAGACCTAATTTTGTAATTTTAGAACATTTGAATTTCTTTGTTTTCGCGCCAAAATCGCTCTATACACCTTCATTTCGTATTTCCTACTTGGGAGAATCTTAAATGCTATTGGTCTGTCGTGTCTTTTAGTATGCTATTCTGTAACTTCCCCTAAGGACGGTTTTGCGCTGTATATATACGTTTTGATTTGTATTTGTTGTTATCGCTCGTTTCTGGCTGTTTGCGGAATATACTTCCCCATTCCAAGCTTGGACTTCTTCCTCTAGTTGGCGGGGCTGGAACGCATCGAAGAGCTAGCTTATTGGTTTTTGGTCACCGAGTCTTTGTTCCGTTCGCAGTCTAAGTGAACTCGTAACCACTTCAAACCTAGCAGTTTAATTGACCTATGGAATGCAGTCTGCTAGGTGAATAAGCTGTCTTTTAAAACCCATGTGCGTAAAAGTGAGAAGGCATGTCCAGTCGAAAAGTCAGAACTATCTGTGAGATATTCAAATTCAAGAAAGAAAGAGAACAGTAATAGAATTACTAAAATAGATAATCAATTCAGTAGCATCATCTCTAGGACGAAACCACTAACATTTAACATGAACCAACAAGTTCACGTTAGTTATTTCCACTATTCAGTTTGGTAGTGGCATCATTGAGACTAATTACATGTTGTAGAAACTGACTGTATGTGGTAGAAGCAGATGATCTGGATTGTGTGCAACATGTGAACCGTATATTATGCCCTTTAGAGACAACACATAAAACATCGCAAACTGACTTTTCAAGATATTCGGAGTTACTTTGACATGACGAATTCAGAAGTATAGAAACCGGAGAGCCTTTCAACAAGAAAATCGAGACAACAAGGGAAAATTGAGCTTTTTCAAATTGACTTAACAATAATGTTATCAAACGTCTTTTAATATTTCTGGGACTCAATGAGATGTAAATTACAAGCGTTAAACCTCGAAGTGGGACGTTGACTAGCGTACGGAAAGGTTATAAAGGCGTTCAAGGTTATTAAAACAAGATATAGAAGCAATCAATTAATTAACAGAGTATTCGTTTCAACGACGTACAGATGTGAGAGCCTCCTCCGTATTTGTGGTTAATGATGGGATGTGTTAGATTCTCTAACTCAGAGTGGGTAAATAAATTTGTTCTTCTTGAGCACAAGCACTAATCATATTATCCCATAAGTTAATTCTCTACTTGATCTGCTCACCTATTCGTGTCAATCTTTTCAAAACCTATTTTTTCTTGTTGTTGTTTCTTGCTACGCTATTCGAAGAATATTTATATAAATTCATATACATTTGTACCATATCATGCACATTAGCTTGCAAGGCTACTGAAATCCGAAAATTATTGGAAATGATAATTAATGACCCTAATGAAAAACTGCTTGCAAGCAGATATTAAGCAAACATTTGAATTTGCATAAGGGGTCACGGTAATTCCCGTAAAATAAAGGACTTGAAAAGCTCCAGAATAAATCATAATTGCGACAAATTATGTAACCTTCGTGAGAGAAATGGATGTAAGTTCATTTGATAGGAAATAAAATCTGACCTTTAAAACTGACTGCTTGCAAGAGCAAACTTTACAAACCCAGGTTTTCGACTTTATACGATGATGAACTTGAAACGTGCAACACTCCGAGCAGCACAATACCCAGAAGGGAACGGGCATGACACAAACTTCCCTCTAATAGTCCTGAAGCATATAATAAACAACATAAATCAGTTGAAAAAGGTTTGTTAACTAATGACTTGAAAAGCGAAACTTCTGTTACGTTGCAGTTACATACAGTGGATATTTGAGTGTCTAAAAAAGTAAACTTATTTACCAGGTCTTCGGGTGCGCTCCACACTAAGTACAAGGGCTAATTATATCGCCTGACTGCCTAAACCGAAGTAGCTAGGGCTGGATTTAAACTTGGGACTAAGCGACTGAAAGTTTACACACCGAAAAGTGATGTGTATTGTAAGTAAGTCAATAGGAAGTATAAGGATGTCATATTGGTTTCAGATTACGATATATTAGTTGGTTATCTATTCGTACATATGTACGGTTCATATTATATTTTTTGTATCAGTTTTGTAAATAATGTAAAAAACGTTGTTGAATGATTTAACCTATTTCCGACTGAGCTAACGTGATAGTCAAGTCATTTAGGACATAGGGCATACAGGATATTATAAGCAATTCTGATTTCGTGAATGTGTCATTAGGTAAGCAAAGATCTAGATACTTTTAATGTATTTATCTATTTAGATACATAAAGATTGGTACAAGGAGGCACCAAATATATATGCGCCACACTTCGTTATTCGATTTGTATGAAAGCTGGAATGTTGTCCGGCGCCCAAACTGAAGCAGGCGGTCTCCTTAGGGAGCCGCACCGAACCTTGGTCTAGAAGTCTAATCCACAAAGCAGTGGAACAACGTCAGAGGATGAAGACCCGTGGCAGCCAGTAATCAACAATGGGTTCATACTCCAATTGTTCCCTCAGAATCCTGGAACCCATGTGCACCATTGGTTTGGAATCAGGGATTTCAAACTCTCCTAGGTGGATCCTCTATATTCGTCAACTCAGTTATAGTACTGAATATTTGCTTTTCGCCCTATCAATTTCGTAAATAACACTCACTCTGTGAGGCAGTGAGTAGAAATCCCATGACAGAGGCTATATACGCGTGGCCATATGAGAGCATTTCGAGAGGAAGAGAGGACTCTCCTAACCCTCGCCCGTACCAGGGCATTTGGGGGCGTCTTGATATAACAGATATTTAAAGGTTGTTTTAAAGTTAATTAATGGTAAAGATACTAAAGCGAAAAAAGTGGTTCTGTCACTTGTGAACTACTACGCAAGTGTCCCTAGCCACGGAGATGTTGTCTAATCAACCTGGAAACCTCAGATATCTAGTTCCTTTCCAATAATAAAAAGGCGCCTCATAGTGGCACTTCCCTAGATTTTTACAGTTGCTTTCTCCCCAAACTCGCCTATAATATTCTGAAATTGAATTCGGCAAATCACTCCATTGGTTTAAACATATACCATCCTACGAAAAATATTCCAAAACAAGCAAGAATACAAAGATTCTGAAAACTGTATACTGTTTACACCAGTTATACCTTTGAATGTAAGGACAAAAGTAGCTAAAGCAACGGAGGAGATCCTACAGGCCTGTTGTGGATGTTCTGTTTATTAACCTGCTATTCCCAAGGTGTTTGTGACTAGATTTCGGCTATTTTAGGTTCAACGTAAACACAGACAACTCAACAATCAGGCTAGTTTGTCGAATATAAGATGTCACGTTAATTGTTAACAAGCTTTTTACCTTTTACAACGAATAGGAAACCTCTAATAATCTCCATAATGGTATCGCTTTTATCTCTCTGAAAATGATCGATTGACAGGATATTCTCAAAAATCCCAAAAATCAACCGAATCGAGTAGAAGTGTAATTTTGAGACGAGGTGATCGAAACTGAGAACGTGACTATTACGTTTTAGCGCACAACTTAGAAGTCACGTATATAGGGTAACAAAAATACTTTATTACATTGTTTTAAAGATTAAAAATGATAAAGGAAAACTATTGTTGTTCATATAGAATAAAAGTGGTAGTTAGATATGTTAAATGCCCGATTCTGTTCCGGTAGATTGCACGTTACAGATCAATCGACTTACTATAAATCCTAACAATAAACCTTTATTCCTGAAACAAACCTTAATCAGGTTGCATTATAATTTATGGACAATTAATACTGGATTTTTGGCGCAAAATTCACTCATTCATGAGGCTACAGAGACGTTATGCACTATAAATAGTGTCAGTGATGGAAATTCCAAGCGCGAATACATAACCCTAAAAAGGAACAATATGAGGAACCTTGAATATCTATTTGGGTCTTTTTAGGGCTCCAAGAAGAGCAATCTATGTATAGAAAATTACTGGAGTCGTCTAGCACAACAACTATCAGTACGTCCATAGGCACAACTAATGTCCCTTGATCACTTTCGCCACTCCCAACGATCGTTTCGACTATGTTCATCTTGATTTAGTAGGACCCTTACCTCTTAACGTGCACAGACCGTTTAACTTGATGGCCAGAAGCGTTACCCATCAAGGGCATTACTTCTGAAACAGTGGCACGCGTCTTCGTCGAACGATGTACAGTAAACATCGGCTGCCCTTTAACTGTCACCACAAACCGTGGGCGCCAGTTCGAATCTAGACTATTCCGTTATCTGATTACACGATTAAGAATCAAACGATTTCAAACAACCGCCTACCACCCCACAAGCTAACGGATTGGTAGGACGATTTCGCCAACAGCTGAAAGCATCACTCTCAGCTGCAAACGTTCCACAGTGAACCGACGCTCTTCCACTCGTTCTACTCGGTATTCGCAATGCAGTGTAAGCTGACGCTGGATACAATGAAGCTCAAGTCGTTTATGGAACAACACTCCTACTTCAAGAAGAATTTGCGGATCCTTCATTTTCGTCAACTAATATGGATGTAAACTCTTACGCCAGCAGGCTTACAAACGCGATGAGTTCAGTTAAACCTGTTTCCACGTGACCAGATAACTGATGTTTTCTTTTAACCTGCGTTACGACAAAATACACATGTTTTCGTACGTCGCGACCCATTACAACGACTTTGAAATGGCATACGAAGGACCCTTCAAAGTCTTTCATCAGAAACCTAAATACTACATCATCGATAAGAACGGAACTATCGATAACATCAGCATCAATCGTCTCAAAGCCGTGTGTTTAGAAGGAAACCCTAATCGTTTTGATCTTCCTTCAGTATAATCGAAAGCGAAGAGTCTCACAATTACGATACATTACCCGACAATCAGCAACCTCGACGACACTTTGGTGGTAACTGACAACCGATTAAAAGCAGCGTGCTCTGGAAGAGTAAGGTTTTCAGAACACCTAAGCGATTAGTATACGTAAGACACTACATATTATTTTGTTTCGTCTCGATTTATTTTGTATCACTGTCAAAAAACGAAAACAAGCTATTTTTAATATGCTTATATATACTGTTATTATTCCAAGAAGACAGTTTTTGTTGCTAATATGCGCATATTTTTCAAGAATAAAACGAAAATATTATTCTACGAAAATCGTTTTTGCGCAATTGCATGTCTACGAAACGCATGTATATAAGTTTTTTCGTTTTTTCGCCCATTTTGTGTCCTTATGCACGTACGAGTGTAGCTTGACGTGCACTCACATATTTTTTTCAGGACGGTTAGGAGATGTAAAACCCAAAAAGCCTTACGATGATTCGAAATTTTTATCTTGCCTTTTTATCGATGTATTATACCACATGGTCCCTTCGTTGTTCACGGCTGACTGACATGGTCGATTATATTAAGGAAAGACAACTAGATGCCGCTGAACATAATAAGCTGCCAGAATTGTTTACCAATGGAAAGCCCGTTGGGCTTAAACATCTGATCGGCCATGTCTTACGGACACTACTATCCCATCAGAGGGGGGAGTGAGTTGTAGCGGCAAATAAATCCCCAGAATAAATAGTTCGGTAAGTCTTCGACATTGATGCTGACTCCATTAGTTTTACTGGAAATAAGAGTAAGTGAAGCGGCCTGTACTAATTCTTACGATTCAAGATGTTGCAGACTAAATATAGCCCTAAATATACTAAAGATGCCATAGATATTCGGTTTGACAACGCTGATACACTTGCCTCTTTTATAATCGAAATACGCCAGCTCAGTCAAATCAGAGGTCAAAAATAAAGGGGTTTGAAGATAGATTTGGGAATGTACCGACATGTCAAGAAGCGTTTTGTTTACGCTGGTTAACAGTTGCAATCGATGCACAGCACGGTGTATCCAAGCGGGTACGTGATTAACCGAAATCTGATGTGAAAGCGTGACCGAGCGCATGTAGCCAGAGTGTGTCCAGTAAAACTGAGGAAGTCAGCATCAATATCGAAGACTTACAGAACTATTTATTTTGAACACTTACGTACCTCTACGAGGAAATGAACTACAACGAAGAAGTCTTGATTCATGAGATAATAAATCATTTATCTACATTCGCCGTTCTCTGATTGGGTAAACGCATGATAGCCCTACCTAAGGAGAAAAATAGACAAATCTGCGGATATTTAGGCGAAAAGTCGGTTATTTATCGACAAAGCGGGTGAAAAAGGGAAATCCGCATTATTTCCCCCCAGACAGGCGAAAAAGGCGACATTCTGGCGCGTTTTCCCCCTACGCTACGAAAGCATTTACCCCTTTATTTCCCCTTAGTTCGCCTTTATTTCCCCTTTTTTGGTTCTTTGGGAGGTCGCTCAGAAGCACATATCGGACTTAACAGTGATTGCAGGGTATACCCTGCAATACCTATAGGTATTAGATCATTAATGAACCACTGAAAGTATCAAAATATGCTTGCCTTTAAAATATGAAACTTTGATTTACAGGATCTGGTAAAAAATATTATATATAACACTAATCAATCAAAAGGACCGCGAAAAACGCTGATTCTGTGATAACCCTCAGTAGCGCAGGTATTGTATTTTCGCTCATTTATATAATTAAAATAACCCATAGTGTCATTGAACAGATATGAAGAAAACCGACAAACAACAAAGGTTATAATCATAAACTAAATCATAATAAAAAACTTGTATAAGTTAATAATAAATGATTAGAGTTTAAAGTGCAAAATAGAAATTAAAAATATCGACAATAATTGAATAAAAGTGCAGAAGAAACATATATATCTCTTTGGGTCACTTCAATGTGTATATATAAATTTACTTGCTCATGTGGGGCATGCTACATAGGCCGCACAAAGCGATCATTGTCCAACGCATCTCGGAACATTATCCGGCCTGGCTCTTAAAAGGGGAACGATAAATAATCACGCGTTCGATACAGGAGCACTAAATCAACTGTAAACACATCGCTCCAAAGGAATCTTCATTTAAGGTAGTCTACAGAGTCAAAGGAACTGGATCGAAGGAGGTTTGAATCAATATTTAATGCACCGCAGAGGCACTGGCAATTCACAAACTCAAGCCTGAACTTTGCGTGCAGAAACGATTTGTCCAACTTCTCATCTTTCCTTGGTCCTAATTCCCTTAATGGGTATGTTTCTGTGTTTCTTTGTTTTCTTTGGTTATTGTTGTTGTTGTTTCTGCACTTTGATTTAATTATTATCGATATTTTTAAGTTACTATTTTGCACTTTAATCATTTATTATTACCTTATACAAGTTTTTTGATTATCATTTAGTTTACGATTATGACCTTTGTTGTTTGTCGTTTTTCTTCATATCTGTGAATTTGACTATTATCTGACCCATAAATTCTGTTCTTCCTTACTCCTTGATTAGTAATTTCACCTCATTTGTTATTTATTCTCGAATCCATTTTTGTGATACAATCCTTTCTATCCCTCTATAGACATATATTTTCCATATAAATATATACGAATGTACAGCTTAAGTAAATGCTTTCGTCGAAAAGCAAATTTTCTTCGCTGATTTCTCTTTCGCTCATTTATACTTTGACAGCCCTCAGGGTAATTTCGTCAAACATATGACGTCAGTCATTTAGTCTCTCTTAGTGAGGATAGGCGGTCAAGAAACCTATATCGATACTCATAATTTGTAGAACCGTGAATATTAAGTCTTTCTTTGAATGCATCAACATAAGGAGCCGATACTAAGTGTTCTGGAGGAGAATTTCATTAATTCATCACTTGACGCCGGAAATGGAACCCCAGATGTGTACAGCTTGGTCTCGAGTCTTGATATCTCTTAGAATGCCCTCTCAGATTATCAGTCTCACATGAAAACAAAATATAGGACATCTGAAGAAACCCCAAATGGTTTTTTTCCAACACTTTCGTACTAATAAGCTGTTTCTGAATACTACTAATAATGATAATAGCACTAAAATGATTGCTCGGTATGCGGCAAGTCAATATAAATTCACATCATAGCCTGCGATATGTTTGGGTACCTCCGTATGTTTTCGAAGGTTAGGCCAGTAAGACCTTACACTACTTCGGTCACTTACCGTTAGACTCGACCAAGCAAATCCAATTCATATTCGAACAAAAGTCCACCTTTTTGAATCCCATGTCATAAGTGCAGCTTCGGAAATATCGAATGACGAAACAGCCCATAGGACCGCACAAAGTCTTTGACAGAAGAAGCCTCATAGTTACTTGTAATCCTAAAGTCGTTGCTCATTAGGAGTCCCAGATCCTAATGAACCATTGCTTTGAGTAATGTCATTTCACTTGTCTTATGGTCATGAAAATCTTCGCAGTTATTCGTCTACATCACCAAATCCTTGCAGGAAGAATCGTCGTATCTTAACCTACTCATCCACTAACCCAGTAAACGTCGGTTATCCTATAGTATTACGCTATTAGACGTACCAAACACATTTGAGGAAGTGACAAGAATTGATGATATGACAATATCATTTCGAAACGATAGGTGTTTGATTAACCTTAATCCAATGTACTTCATTATTTGAACGTCAGGTTCTATTGTCCATCACATTTTTATATCGGTCAATTTTGCTAACTTCCAAATTTACTGTATTAGATCGCCAACGTTGGTTATCTGAGTCGATGACTGAGGGGGCAACTTGAATTGGACAAGCATGTTGTGAACAACCAGCTTATTTTGAAATCACGCCTCAACGTCAAGGCCTGATATAGATCAACCTTTTGCCTCCTCTAGTTACTATGTCTACTTTGACGGTCATACAATAAAAACAACTTCATTACAGACATATATCAGTAAAAGTGAGCGCAGGAAACAGAACACGACTACTGGCACATGGGCTAGTCCATGACGTGCGGTCGATAAATGCGCGTTGTTTGTGATTGACCTTGACAGCGATCTGCAGACTGTCCGAAATTCAGGTCCTTGAACGTTTAGTAATTTATCTAGGAAACAATGAAATTTGATCAGCCACTCATCGTTGACATATGAAAAACACATAAAATTTAGTTGATGGTGGGACTCTGTATAGATCAATATCTTAGGTTACAACACATCTCTTTTCAGTGTTAGTCGTAATGTATGCAATTGTGATCGAATTTCATGCTGCATTTTGCCTTGACATAATACTGATGGTTATTATTATTATTACAAGTTTAATGTTGTGAATCAATTTATTTTCCTCATAAGTAGTCCCTTAAGGTATCGAACGGTGCCTAGATTTTCATTCTTATTCCATTTTTTTTATAAAAGACATTTAATAGTGTACTTTATAGAATCCAACTAATGTGAATGAGATCTACAGTCAACAAAGAGGTTCGATTGTTCGGTAAAATGAATTTCTAAAGGGAACCCTTGCAAAAGGTCTATCAAATGATTTTAAAACTAACATCCGAAAATATTTTGTATTCAATGTGCGGAGAATGGTCTATGCTACTCTAATTGTTCGAAATGATTCAACTAATCTATCTAAGAAGTAAAAGTCGAAATAATCAACATATCACTGTTTATTGTTTGAACAAAAAATTCTGACATCTAGGTTTGATTTTACTACTTCCCAGCTTGAATCTCAATAATATTCAGTTTCTTGTTAAAAAAAATAAAGAGCGTTAAGACATTCAGTTAACCAGTCGTATCGATATATAGGTGGTTTACACTGTAACTCGATATTAATCAGTCGATTAGTGAAAACAATGAAGTGTTCATGAGTTTGTTTTTAGTTAGTTATTATATTCTCTAGCTCTATGCACGTATTCTAACTCAACGTTAAATGCAAGATTCTCATGGTCGATGACCTGAAAGTCCCCTTTCGTATATCTGTAATCAGTTTCAGTAATCTAGTTTTCACTCCTGAATTGTCGTATACGCAGTTGTCATCTGTGTGCACTTACTAAACATTGGAAAGCATAACTTCAATCAGATCTACAAGTACCTATTATTCAGATCAGCCAATTATTTGTTTAGAAAGTAAAAAATGTTTTTATATACTTCTTACAATGTCGCATGATTTCGACATCCAAAATACACTTTTGTTAACATCCTACGTCTGGTCTTAAAATTAAGAGGTTTGCGCTATGAATTTTGTGTATCATATAGTTACAACTCACACTTGGATAATTGCATGATTGACCTAGATTTATCATCACAAAGTGGGTTGATATAGAATATAAGTAGACTGTTTTGCGGCGGCTTAATGGTTAAGGTGTTTAACTTTTAGCCTCTAAACCCCAGGTCCGACCCCCTTCGACCTACATCGGTTTAGGCAACCGAGTTGTACCGTTAGCCAAATGGTTTAAAATATATTTCTCCCTCTCAAGCATACAACAACAATACATTAATACAATAATAAGACTGATCACATTATATCAGATCCACGATCCAAAATAAAAAGCCAGTCACACTCAGTGATTCCGGAGTAAAAATCAATGAGAGGAAAAGAAATCACATATTCTGTATCTGTCTGTCTATGCTCAAAGACCAATCATCCTTTAATTTCACTACCACATATCAGTCTCATATCCAATGTCCTGGATAGTGAATTACTTCTAAAAAAGGCTGTTCTGTATTTCACGTGATACGTTGTTTTGCACACTTGGTTCATAAGTCCACTCATTAATCCATTCAAGTTCACCAAAATGCCACCAGCAAGTAAAGAATAATCCACCTAGAGAAAATCAATTTCGCCCACTATACTACTAGTTTACACCATAATTAAATACCTCAAATGGAGTAAAATTTCTTTTGAGCACTAATTCTTGCTGGGACATTGTACGTAATAATATTTATTAAACAAATGCAATATAGACATCTAGCAATTTTAAGTCATTACATCATCCTTACAGTCTAGACAGTCAATTACAAATAGCTCCTACTAACCTCAGTACTGCTTATTTTTGTTATACCAGCTAAATCATCTCAACTGCTGTTATTTATCTTCAAGCCACATTTGCTTAAAATTATCACATACAACTCTATTTTGTTTGCCATTCCAATTTCAGAATTCTACGGCTTCGAGTCAAGCAAGTCACTGTTTACCACCTGGTAAATCAGATACAGATTCATCTCAAAAATTTACTTCAAAATGGGATATCTACTTGTAAGCTTTCTTCTAACCAAAAAGAAAACTATGAAAGAAAGAGTTTAACTATTCTCGTTGACATTTATTATTTCTTATTAAAAAAATTTCCTAACATCATTTTTCGTTCCTATTCCTGGTGAACTGGTGGTATGATTAATCTGAGTGAAGATTTGTATTTATTTCGTTATAAAATCAGCGTAAAATCGTATACTGTTTTGCATACAGAAGAATCAATATTTGAAAAACGTGAATCAATAGCTTTGGGCTTTGATTTACTATTTTGGAATATTAGGAAAATAAAAAAGCTTGTGTAAGATTGAAACTTGAGAAATTTGAATTATTTATTTGATAATCGTCTTGCAATTGTCTACTATTAAATCAAGTAGGTGTACTGTGCATAGAGATATTTCGGTAACCGATGTATAGTACAGGTAGAAGTATGTGTATAAATCAACTCGTGTTAT